TAGCAGCACAGTACCTATATCTTCCGGCATCCAGACAAGCCCAGGGAGTTGTAATCACACTTGCTGGCAAACTGCTCCTATATGCTGCTGCCAAACTTCGGCACCCAGAGACTACTACGGGGAACACGGCAAGTCACTGGGAAGGTCACTGTGAAGCCGACTATGAACGTGATACAGGCTGAGCTGCTGGTTGTTGCCTCAGAGCAGATGGTTATTTGACTCCATCATCTCCCACACACAGAGACAGACATAGACAAGTTCCTGGGGCCTGTCTCTAAAATTAGAGCTCCAAGCCTTTGAATATTAAAAAAAGCTCCCACACTAACATTTGGGAAATACCTGTCGCCACTAATGGGCTTAAGACTTTCAGTGATGACTAAGTATTGGGCACTGCATTAGAGGCAATATGTCCATTCCAAAAATTTTAAAATGACTCTAATACACCCATATAAAATGTGCATTTAATAACTTTTTGTAGTGAAGCCTGCAGAGCATTGTAAGCTCAATCAGTGCATCATGGGTGCAATGCACAGCTCCTGCACTGTTTACCCCCGGCCCAAGGTCTGTGTGGAGGTATGGCACTAATGTTATGGGGCTGGAAGTGAACAATGGAGTATAAATGTAGTTAAATCAGCACACTTGAGCTCCAGTGCGATTTGTGAGTCTCTATGCCGTAGTGGCAGATGGGACTTACTGTAAATCGAGGGTCAACAATCCATCGAGCGCAAGCTACCCGTCAACAACCAACAGGTATCGGGTAGATCACGAAGACACCCCAGTGTTGCCGACCCAGTCTTTTCCCCAGAGTTCCAGAGCGGTGCAGGCACACGCTCACTCGATCCTAGACTGCAGAGGCATAAGTGCAGATGCGGGGAGGGGAAAGCCTGTAGAATAGCTCAGGAAGGTTCAGCTCTTCCCCAAACATGCCCGAGCTCCTTCTCGGAGTGTTGTGTGCTCATCACCACTTGCCCTCCTCCCCGATCCAAGGGACTTGTTGATGATACTATGTAGGAAGGTGAGAGAGGATTGCTGGCAGGGATCAGTGCCAGCTCTGCAGGGAATCCCTATGCAGCGCCGCATGGTAAGCCCGAATATAGCTCGGGGTTACCGCTTTTGGTACTGACATTTTACCCTGAGCTACACTCGGGAATACCACTAGGGAGGTTAAATGGGGTGATGTGGAACTTTTCAAAATGCACGGCACCCACAGAGCATTGGTGTAAAGTTCTATAGGATTTAGAGGGATACATTTTTCATGCATTTTTGCTCTGGTTTTTAAAAACCAGAAAAGGGCCCTAAATTTAAATGTTACTTTTTAGGCCCCATGTACCCGGGACACTTCTGAATGATGGAAACTGACTGCTGAAAAACATAGGTTAAAAAACGTCTGTTTAGCCGCAGTTGCATAACGCGTTTATGCGTGTTTATGTGTGTTTGTGTTTAGAAGCGTTTTTTAGAGATAAGAACAGGAGAACCTTCCAGAATGCACTGAAAAGTGGTAAATTATTAACTATTTCAGACTTACAGAGAAATACACAGAGTAGAATCAGAGACAGCAGAATGTGTTGAGATAATTAGGTATGAATGGTCATTAACATATCTTTTGTTTCCAAGGGTGAGAGAGGTCTGAGGTGTGAATTGGTCATTACAATGTGTGACAGGCTTGGTAGGAACATCCTGTGTTCAGTGTTTTGTCGATCTGAGTATATTGAAAACGGTTTTCATGCATTTTTCATGATGAAAAAAGACTCTGGACAGCATTGGGAACTGGAAGAGTTAAAAAAAATTTCAGACTCAATCGTTTATAAACGCTATTTGCCGCGTTTTGCATTTGAAACGCTGATAAAATCGACTGCTGAACGCAAGTTTTCTGTGTTCAAAAAAACGACCGTAAACTCAAATGCCTGTAAATGACTGTAAACAAAGATGTGTACATGGACACATAGGAAAACATCAGGGTGAATTCAGGGGCTGCTGAAAAAAAAAAAACGCTGAACAGCTCCTAAACGTGAGTTTATCAGCTGCAGTGTACATGAGCCCTTAAACTGTTATTACAACTACTGCAATACCTTCAGCAGCATTATGAATTGCAGCACTTACTGTGCATGCACAGGTTACAGCATACATATGCTGAATTTACTAACTGTGGTTTGTCTGCCAGCTAAACTGTGGCATGTCTAGCATAAAAATGTGATTTTTCTCTAATACAGATTCTTAACGGTACTATGTGCACGCATTCCTCTTGTTCAGGGGTCTCCAAACATTCTAAGCAAAGGGCCAGTTTATTGTCCCTCAGGCTTTAAGGGGGGCCGGACTGTGACTAGTGGGAGTAGAAAATGCCCTGGTGTCAGTGCCCCATCACTGTTTTTAATGGGAGGAATATTGCCCCATTGTTTTTCATTGAAAAGTCCTTCATTGATGGTGTCAATAGGGGGAATGGTGATCCATCACTGGTGTCAGTTGGTGGAATAGTACCCCAAGGGCCAGATAAATACTAGGTTATGCCACTGGCAATCAATACAGTCCTTGGGACTCCTGGCGTACAGAAACACATAATCAATCCGGTACCAAACACTCAAAGTTCAAAAATAAACGTGAGAATCCATTAAATATTTAAAGAAAATACTTTAACCTTGTGATCCTCATTAATATCCTCCCTTTCCTCCTGAGATACAAGGATTCCCACAGATTCTTCTATGATGGATCAAAGGAGGTTTCAAGTTGAATGAATAATTCTAGGTTCCTGGCCAACCATTCTGCTTCTGCTTCACCCCTCCTGCTTTGATTTCGAAATTTTTACCTCAAAACTCATACCACTGACCTATCGCCCTTCTAGCAGGTGCCCTTCCCCTGTAAGGACATGTCTTTCCATTGTCTGAACTTGAGACGCTAGCTATGAAAACTTACATCCAGAAAAGTCTTAGAACGGACTTCATCAGTTTTTTCACATCCTCTACTGGGGCGAGTAGAAAAAATAAGATGGGACTTTGCGACCCAGAAGAAATACTTTCTAGCTATAATTCCTGAACTAGGCATCAAGCGTCACAATCTAACTCCATCCTGAACATAGAAAGTAGGCACTCAGGTGCAATGGGAGATGCATGTTGAGTCACTCTAGCTGAGGCTTATGCAGGGCTGAGGACTCCTCCTGCCTCAATATTACAGTATTGAGCCAATCACAAAGCATTAGAGAAAAACAATATATACCTGTGATTTTGCCTTGTATAATCATTTGCTAAAAACCTATGTCTAGATTTGTTAACTTATAGAGAATAACAATATCAGTTCACTTCCTTGTATTTGAGCATGCCTACGCACTCTTGTCACTACAATCTTACAGCTGTATATCTGCAGTGTGAAATCTGGGGCACTGTTGCTTCTTACCTCTAGTCTGCAAATCTGGAGTGGGATTTGGTAATATCTCTACTGTGCTGCTCGCTGTTGTCCCTATATTATATATATGACATGAGAAAGCAACGTTCTGCCTTTACCAAGATGCCCACCTCCACACAGAGGCAATTCAGAATAGGGTATGGTTAGTCAGTAAAGAGAGAAAAGATCAGTCAATTGGATTTACCTGCTTTTTGGACACAACTTCAAGAGTTTGGTTCTTCTTTAAGCTCATTACAAATAAATATACTGCTAAAAATAGGTGAAAACATATAAACTAAATAGAGGATATGAACTAGCCTAGAGTTCCCTCTTTAATCCTTTCGCTGCCAGGCCCTGCTCTCTACTTTTAAACCCAGGTGGCCAGACCATTTTTGTAATATTTCTGTTGCTTTTTTATTTTTCCCCTACAGCTTTCAGAGTTTGTAAAAGACCCACCAAACCATATATTTTCTAAAAGCACATGACCAGTTGGATAAAAAGAAGGTGCTACTGAATTTTAAGGCCCTGCAATATTTGCGCAATTGTTTATCAAAACAATATTTTAGTTAAAAATACACTAAATCATTATTAGAAGATATAAACACAGCACATTTTACAAAATTCCAGCTAAATTCTTACTTAAAATAAAAGCTTAACTTGTATTGAGTTAATAAATAACAAATATTTGTACATTTTTGCAAAATGGTGAAAATCAAATGTACACTAAAATGTAAATAACCAAATTTCTCTAAAAATCTGGAGGTTTTCATTTTTCACTTACAGCTTTCAAAGTTTGTAAAAAGACCCCCCCCCCAAACTATATATTTTTATGAAAGCACATTACCCATGGAATAAAAAGAAGTTGCTACTGATTTTTAAAACCTGGCGATATTTGCTTAAATGTTTATCAAACAATATTTTTGCTAAAAATACACTAAAATCATTGTTCGCAGATACAAACAAAGCAAATTTTACAAAATTTCTGCTAAATTCCTTTAAAATATAAAAGCTTAACCTGTAGTCAATAAATAACAAATATTTGTAAATTTTAAATTGCGCCTTTTTTTTTTGCGAAATGGTGAAAATCAAAACGTATGCAAAAATTTCTTTAACAATCTGTAGGTTTTAATTTTTCACTTTGAGAGTTTATAAAAGACCCCCAAAACATATATATTCACCAGTCACTTTGTTAGGTACTCCTTGCTAGTACCAAGAAAATATCCCCCACACCATTACACTACCAGCCTGAACCGTTAATACAAGACAGGCTGGATCCATGCTTTCATGTTGTTTGTGCCAAATTCTGACCCTACCATCTGAATGTCGCAGCATCCAGTCTGCCCATTCTCCTCTGACTTCTGACATCAACAAGGCATCTTTGTCCACACAACTGCCACTCAGTAGATATTTTCTTTTTATTGGACCATTCTCTGTAAACTCTAGAGATGGTTGTGTGTGAAACCCCAGTAGATCAGCAGTTTTTGAAATACTCCCCATTCTGATGCTCGGTATGAAACTTCAGCAATTCGTCTTCACCACTCTAGATGCCTAAATGCATTGAGTTGCTGCCATGTGATTGGCTGATTAGCAATTTGTGTTACCAAGAAACTGAATAGTGTAATGTGTACCTAATAAAGTGGCCGGTGAGTGTATTTTCTGAAAGCACATGACCAGTAGAATAAAAAAAAGTGCAACTTATTTTTCTACGCCCTGCTATAGTTGTGCAAATGTTTATCACATCACCAGGGGCGGACTGACAACTCATGGGGCCCCCCGGGCAATAGGGGATCATGGGGCCCCTGTGTCCTTGCCCAAACTCAAAAAAGCCTATGAAAAAGGTACCAGGGGCATCTCATGGGGCCCCCTACTGACCCCGGGCCCTCGGGCAGTGCCCGAGTTTCCAAATGGTCAGTCCGCCCCTGCACATCACTATTTTTACAAAACCACATGCAAAGCATGAGGTTACAGCGCATTTTTCTGCAAAAATGGGGTTAAAACTGGTGGCGAGGAGGTGTCGCAATGCTTCCTCACTGCCTGTCAATAGCCTCTGGAAAGCAGCCTCGGGGTTCAGAGGTAAGGGAGATTTAGACCATTAGTCCTGGCTGCACTAGCACAGAGGCTGCGGGCTGGTTGCTGGTACAGGAATCACACCTGTTCTCGCACTCACAACCACCCACAGCGAGACGCACGGGGCTGCCATGCATTCTGAATGGCATGACCACGCGCATCCCAGCCCACAGCATAATTGCGGGTGCATGAATCACAGGGAAATCGCATGGTCAAAAAGACCATGTGGTTTCCTTGTAGATGCGATTTTTATGCACCTTTTTTTTTCTAGCACTAGTGTGAACCCAGCTTTACTATTTTTTTTACACTTTTATTTATTTCTGTTAACCAAAAAAAAAATTTTTTAACTATTTTGTAAATTTTTTTTGGGGGGGACATTAGAGTCTGTCAACTAATAGTGGCTGCGGCAGGCGAGGGTATAAGGAGGGAGAGCTGGCTAGGAATGCTGTGGGGGCAGGGGGGTTGGGATTGCACTGAAAGGGAGTCACAGCAGCAGGGGCATTTAACCCTTTAGGCTGTGGCTCCTATGCAATCGCCGGAGGGAGAGGCAGAGGAAGGAAGTTGGCAATTGCATGGGAGCCACAGGGTCGGTGCTGGGGGAGGTTGGGGGGGGTAGGATCGGTACTGGGGGACACAGATAAGGGGGAGGAAGAGACTAATAAGGGGGGGCTGAGAGCCCCTAATCAGCGCTATTATTTTGTTCAGCAGGGTCTGCTGGATGGACATTTCTGCTATAAGGTCACGGAGCTTATAGCAGAAGCAGGAATGTGAGAAATGTCAGATCCATACGGCATAAGGACCTGGCCAGCTGGAAGCAGTGCTGTAGGTCCATACACCAGATCTGGCAGCGAAAGGGTTAAAGGGCAGCGTTTCCTGTCACAGCTTAGGCTCTCACACAATGTTAAGGTCTGGGTCAGATCACACATGTACTGCATTGTGTACAATGATGCCCAAGCCCACACCCTAGCACTGCTTACAGGAGCGATACAATGCCAGTCTCCGGAGACTCACAGCCCATGCTGTGACAAATACCAACTGCCTGACTGGCTCCCTTCTTTTTTTTTGACTCGTTCAGCATGTACAGAGAAAAGACTCACACGAAGGTGTCATGGGAGTCACAGAGAGATTAATCTAGGGTATTGAAATATATTAAATCAGAGACATATGCTTCCATTGACATGCCATTTATCTTTGGAGTGAGGAAAGGGCCTGTATGTTAATATTAATAGGATAATCCATACAGGGTGCACAGAGGATATCTATCTCACTTCAAAGATGAAAGCAAATTAATTATGTAAGATTATTGCAACAACTAGGTCAACTATTTTGCAAAGCTGTACAGTTAACGCTATTACTTCAATGTACCAACCACATATGTTTATTTTTCCATTTTATTTTATTTATTTTTGACCAGATATGCAAAAATAAAGTACCCACAGATATTAGACTGGTGTCCTTAATCTGTAATTCAAGAAATATTGGACAATGCAACAGTTTAGGTTGACCAGTCACCTGCCTATCTGTAAGACGTCTCCGAGACTGTGGCTCACCTTTGGCTGCTCCCATGACATTTCCAAAATACCAAGTAGTAACAGAAATATATATCTCTACAAAGTACAGCAGATGGTGTGAGACAATGGTTGCAACAGTGCTTTGTATAAAGACTACCAATGAATGTTACAGTAGATGAGAAACCAGGATCTTGAGAGGAGACACCCCTGCCAAGGTTTCAAAGACTTGCAAAAGGCTGGTGGGTGACCAAACCTATGAAAGCCACCCCATAATTCCACATTCTACACTTGTGGGCTAAATTTTGAAGTACTCCAGGTTTAGAAGTCCATTCTACTTGTCAACATTGTAGCATAAAAATTTGTATTGCTCTTAAACAAAATCCAAACATTGAACAATTCAGATTCTTGTCTCTACAGTCATACTAAATTTCCTCATAGGAATGATACGAGACAACTTCAAAGAGAACAAAGAGAACTGCAATAATAGGAGCAAGAGCAAGGCCCATGACACTGGCAGACCGACAAGCCCAGTGACTGTGGGAAGAAAAGAACATCCAAGTAGAAAGTAAGTATACAAAAGCCGCATTTGTATCCATTGTGTGGAGCAGGTAAACAGGTCAGTGAACCGATACATATTATACTGCGTCTTGGTTGCATTTGGAGAACTCATACAAGGTTGATCTCTTTCAACCAATTGTTTTTGCGATCAAATCGGAATTAAAACCAATTGGATGGGCTGGATCAGACTAACAAAGGCGAATTAGAAATTTGTGCCTTTTTTTCAGGCAGTCAATTAAAGAACTATTACTATGAAAAATATTACATTCAGATAACTGAATGCAGTTGATACATGTAATGGCAGTATTTATTATGCATTGCTTTTAGAAAATATCTTTCTCCTCATTTACATGCAGAGCAAGCTGTCCAGCAAAAGTAACACGAGATGGGGCAAACTGTAACACAGCTAGGGAGGGGAGCTTACATTGATTACCTTTTATTAGCATGGTTTACATCTTCTTTTTTTAAAAATGTTGCTAGAACAGCTTAATCACCCCTTATAAAGTGAGAAAACACAGGCCTTTTAAATGACTGTGGTTCCACTTGCTTCTGAGCATCCAGGACTTTACTGTGGCCATGCAGAAAGTTTATATACGCCCCAGACTCAGGATATTCTTCTGGTACCACATGTGGAATATTATAAAATTCATATTCAAATTACCTGGCATATAAGATATATAAAACTAGTGTACACTTATTTTATCCCCATCACTCGATCTTATTAGCATCACAGGTAGTTAAAACCTTCTGCAAAGGCTAGCTACAAACTATGCCACTTTATCCCTCTTCCAACCACCTTTCAAAAGTTGAAATGATCCTACTACCGTATAAAAAAAAATGTACCTATCGATAGAGAAGAAACTTTCCAGTACCCTAGATCAGTCATTCTTCGCTGGTTGGAAAGGCTGAAGAATCTCACTTGCTAGTGACAAAACGGCAACAGAGACACATCAACCTGGTCTGGCTAGTGAGGATCTCCATTTCACCTTCTCTTTTTTTCCCACCACCTTTCAAACATTGAAATGATCCTACTACCTTATAAAATAAAAGTACCAATGGATAGAGAAGAAACTTTCCATTACCCAAGATCTGTCACTCTTGGCTGGTCGGAAAGACTGAAGAATTTCACTAGCTAGTAACAAAACACCAAAGGAGAGACATCAACCTGGTCTGGCTAGTGAGGAACTCCAAAGCAAAAAGGTAAATGGTCTGATAACTGCTGGCAAGTTGTCGCCAGTGAGAGGGCTCATGCTAAAGCTTTTATTGTTCCCCAGATTGCAATGGAATGCCAGAAAAGCAGCATGTTTAGAGGTCAGAAAGACCACATTTCCATAGATACCTGCTTGGCATGATGCTGTAGCCACCAGACTGAGAGGAAAACTGGAACAACCATCACTTGCTGTTAATCAATCAAATGGTTCATACTAGGGCATCTGTGCCTGCAGCCTTAGGGTCTGTATAACATCAGGAAAATCCTCAGTTTCCGATACCCATATATTTTACTGAAAAAGTGACTTTCTAAAATGATATTAGTACTAAAATCCACAAAATGGCAAACACGGAACTAGGACATTCTGGAGATAACAGAAAGACATTTCCACCATGCATAGAATAATTATGTCTGCCGTTTCATGTTCATTGGCCAGTTGTCTAATCTGGCCTTTTATAATTGATGGTCACACTGCAAACAAACACTTTAAAGGTCAGAGAAATATGTAACTGTATCACTGGGACACCACCGGTAGACTTAAATGAACTCAGAGTTTTGCAGCCATAAGCATGTAGGTCAATTAAATACAAGTTAATTGGAAGTTCAGATATTGTAATACACAACTCGTAATGGGATTTCACAGAACATTCTTAGCAAATGGATGAGGATTCTTACCAAATTTGTAATCCAGTCCAGGAAATGAAGAGGAGACAAGACCCACATTCAACGTTACAGAACGAATGTTGTTTTAGTTTCTTCCCCCAGTTTGTTGTCAGCTCTTTCTGTGTTCATAGGACTATAATTATCCTCATTAGTATGTAGAACTAATCCCATTAACTCCTGTGAGCCCAGGGAAATGTTACATGTTGTTCTATTTGGAAGTGAAGAAAACTGAACTGTGTCTGAGAGGACTACAACATGAATTGAAGAAATGAAAGTGGTTGTAAAGGCTCAAGGTATTTTACGTTCATGCATTCTATGCATTAAGATAAACAACCTTCAGTATGCAGCCCCCCCCCCACCCGCCAAACTCACCTGAACCCGATCCAGCAATGTGCACAAAAGCAGAAGCTCTCCTGGGTCTCTGCCTTCTCATTGGCTGAGACACAGCTGCAGGAGCCATTCTCCAGCTGCTGTCAATCACAGCCAGTGAGGAGGGAGTGAGGGTGGGGCCGAGCCGCTCTCATAGAAACACAGAGGAGGTCAGGAGCGAGCACGAACAGCAGGAAGGAGGAGCCTGGAGTGCTGGAGGAGGGGGGCACAAAAAGAGGAGGATCAGGGCTGCTCTGTGCAAAACGACTGCACAGAGCAGGTAAGTATAACAACTTTATTTATTTTTTTTTTTTTTTAAATGGAACCTTTTGTAATCACTTTCAATTCTTGCAGGAACAAAAATTCCTTCATCATCCTTATCCTTCCTCTTATCTTCTGTCTGGACCCATGTAAGTTTTGTTAGGTGTAATAAAAAGGAAACACCAGATCCAGATAAAATGGTAAACGCCTGAACTCAAGGAAGAGATTAAAACCACTTAATACAGTTATATATACCTTGAAAACCCATACATGCAAATAGTGTCT